GCGCCGTCGACAAGAAAGTGTTATGTCCGTAATGAGGATGTCAAACAACCCCAGTATACAAGTTTCGATCGATTTTTGAGATCGAGGGTGTTTTGGCGCGGGCGCCAGGCAGTTTCAGGCCTAGCGAATGCGATCTTCGTGCTCAGGAGCACGGCACGCCATCGTTGTGATCATCACAAGGGGGGGTCGTATTTGACCGCGAGGGAGGGGAGGGGTCGTATTTGGTCAGAGAAAAATTTTTTTGATAGTTGATTTCTCTTGTTTCACGGACGCTGTAAGGGGGGGGGTCGTACTTGGTCATTTTTGGGAGGGGGGGTTCGTATTTGTCAGTTCTAATTCTGACGACCTCCCCCCCCTCTCGACAGCAAAATTTTTGGGAAAAAGTAGTACTCTGCCCCCCCCCTCGACGGCTCGGTTCGATGAGGAAGGACAGAGGGCTGGGAGGGGGGGTCGTACCAACTCCCAAAAAAGGGGGTCGTATTTTAGTATGGAATTAGGGGGGTCGTAATTTTCAGAAAATGATTACAACGTGCCCTGCTTAAGAGGTGTCAAACTGTCCTTGGAAACAAATCTGCTGCCGTATAAAAAGCCGGTAAAAAACTGCCCCGCTTCCGAAAGATGTGGTGGTAACTGAACTGAATAGTGCCGAATTCTCTGTGAGCTATAGGAATTTCACTTTCCGAGACTACGAAAATCATCACTGACGTGAAGAGTACACCACTTAGCCCGACCTCTCGAGGATGTCATGCGTGGAATGGAATGATGGCACAGCATAAGAGTGAACATCAATAGATGGCAATTACATCATTATAAGCAAAGAAAAGCAAACATTGGGAAAGGAATACACTCCACAGCACTGATGACCGCCCTGATGGCGCTCCGGGTTTTCGCTGCCTCATTCTCTCAAAGTAGCGTGCTCTAACCGGGACAACGAATCGATATGACGAACGGCCTAGCGCCAAACAGAGCAGAAGGAAGCGTCGGCCTGGAGAATATCCGCAACATTGAGGGAGGGAGGCACGATTAAGCACAGAGAACACCGCTTTGTGTCCTAACAGTCCTGTCCGCCTACCGCCGCAGCGGCTTGTTAACAGTCCTGTTCTTTGGGAACCATTAGACTGTATTATATCGTTCATTTGAATCATTTCCCACCAAACTGTTGTAGCTTACCCACTTCAATAACAGAAGGAGATCGGGTTTGGCGCCGCGGCATACTCATTCCGCCTGGCACGTCCATTCATCTCGTCCAACAAGACTGTACACATGTTGAGCATAGGTGTGCTCCTCACAAAACCCTCGATAAATCTTTCAGAGAATTGTTCAGCAGACACGGAATTTGAGTTGAAAGCGAAAACTTGGTGGTAAGAATTAAAGATACCGTCCAATGCATCAAATTGCACACATCTCATTTCTTATGGCCAATTAGACCTATAGAGTAGTTCGCTGCGGACGGTTGGGCGTGTGCGGCTGCGTTTGGCGCGGTGCCAAACTCGTTCTCCACCAGTTGTTGAAGCGGGCAAGTGACAATACTGTATCATATCCTTCGTATTACTCGTTTTCTACCACTTTTTGTCGCATGCGCGTTTCAACAAGAAGGCAGAGAACGGCTTTGACGGGGTGATACATCATACTGCCTGAACGTCCGCTTCGCAGCGAACTATAGCATTCTTAACCGGTTATTACATTAGAATTCTTGATGATCGGTACAACAACTTCGCGACCAGGATTTCTACAAGGAAGTCAGCACCGATGTGAAAAGAGCGCCAGACCGGGCTACACCATTTAGACGAACCCTTCAGTGCCGCTCTCGAGAACGTCAACGTGAGATGGAATGGAAAAACGTGAGAGTGAAGACCGACGGCCGGCGGTCACATCACTGCGGGCAATATCGCTCCGAGTTTTTGCTGCCTCATTCTCTCACAACACAGCCCCGGGTCGCGCAATCGATAGCTGGGTGGCCCAGCAGAGCACGGGGTAGCCGAGCGGCCTAATGAGTGTCCAAGAATAGCAAGAGTGTAGCGAAATAAGAGGAACACCAAGTTATGTGCCCTTCTTATCGAATCAGCGGTCCTTCCCAGACTGACCAGGTTACGGGAGCATCTGTCAGCTTAATGCTCCCTCGCAGCAAGAGTTCAGAGCATTTTTACGTTTCATCTTGTTACCGAGCGTTCGAAGGGAGGTAAGGGAAACAGAGTAGACAAGAAGAGGCTCCGCAGTCGACAGAATACGAAACCGGGCCGGACCTGGGCTTCTGAGACAAACCGTCAAGTGAAACTCTTCCCTAGGTCTTTAGTGAAAATCCTACCTAAGAACCTTCTTGACACAAAAGAAGGCATCGAGCGTAACACGCTCGAGAAGGTTTACAGGAGAGACTGATTAGTTCCATATTACAGTCCTAAGAGCAGATCTTAATGTCTTTAAAAATAAATAAGTTCAAGCGTAATGACGACTCTCATCTATCGAACAGTGTTCCAACAAGAATCGACCCGGAAAACAGAGCCGAAATATCGACATCTTCCCATGGCTTCTGTGGGGAAGCTATCCGCTAGGTACCTTTTGATGCACATTGTCGAAGAAATGAGTGGGAAATAATGAAAGAGGAAATGAAGAGATCCAAAGCGAAAGTGGTGGACACAAAGCGGAGCGGGACGACGTAGGACGCCGAAATGCGCGTCGATGCTCGGACGCGAGTACGTAGAGTTTTACGGTCTTTCCGCATAAATACCGTAATGCCAGGTTGGAAATCCTTTTGGCATGATTTCCACGTTTTTCAAGCAGGCAACTACATGCTTGGAGATTCACGAAGGGTTGTCATCGAAATGTTTACTAGTCAGTTACTCTTTGATGGCTATCGGAGTTAGAGGGGATCTCCTTCAGTACGAGAAGTTTGTGGAAATCCCTCATCGCCACGTGTGGGCGTGTTTCAAAGCTTTTTAGCTCATAAGTTATGTTACGATCCTATCTGATTTCCCTTGAAACTCCCATTCATAGTCAACTTTACTTCGTTTCTCTACTACTTTTAACGTCAGCAATAGCCCTGTAAACCAACTCTTTCTTTCCTTAGTAATTAAATTTGCTTAGTTGGCACGTTTTGCTGCACATTGAAAGTTTTTCCAGTTATGGATGATGACAATCTGTTTGGTGGAGATTTAAGCGAGAGCAGCAGTGATGAGGAACAGAGTAACCACTCCTCCAAGGCCGTGCAAGAAACAGCTGTGGTCAAAGAGGAGAAGTAGGTCGTTACTGATCTAACTTTTAATAATTTGAAAATCTAACAGTGACTTCCTAGACCTGATACTCGTAAACCAAGAGTATCCTTCACATTGGCTGATGACGAAGAGTCAAACGATGGTGTCTCAATTTTCAACGGATTAGGTGCTCCCGGCGAAGCTCACGAAATGGGCAATAAAACGAATAAAAGAAAGGTATGTTCGGGGTTCTCTTCGCTTCAGAGTCCTCTATCTAATATGTCCTCTCTTCTACAGGCGACTTCACCACCTGGATCGAGCTCAGACGTCAAACGTGTGAAATCTGAAGGTCATTTGGCTGAGTCAACTTCCACAGCTGATTTTCAAGAAGCGTTGAATCTGCTTGATGATCCTACTGCAGGTAGAATAATCTTTTCTCTTCTCAGTCTTGCACATTCCAGGCGGCTCACGTGCCTTGCGAAAGTGCAGAAACCGCTGTTTGGGAATCGGCGATTCGATTCAGTCTCGTCTAATCTTTTGTCGGTTTTGGGTAGGGAGAGGAAGAACTCATGAAGGGCTTCTTGTACAGCGCTGCTGCTAAGTGAAGGAGTTGGGAATTTAGCCTCATTTCCTTCACGAGGCAACATTTCGGACAGGGACCACTTTTGCACATTGAACCTGGGGTGGGAAGAAGCACTTGGGTCTTTGGACGTAATTCTCTGATGTAGTGCTCTACGGTGTAGTTTTCGCGCTACACACATTCTAGTTTTCCGCACAGATTTCTTTGAAGCGCCCCCCCCCTTATGCGAACGCTTACTATGGTATAAGGAAACCCCAAGTGAGTACTTATGAGATCCCATGCGAAACTAAGCTAAGCTGCTTCTTTGTTTCTTTTCTCTCTTGGGGTATGGACGCATTCAGCACTTCTTAACTGTTCCTGTTACTTTACTGTTTCCTTTTTGTTCATGTATTCCTTGACCGACTATGTCCGACCTTGTCTACTGATTCCTTCTGAAACGGCTTCTCGCCACTCTTCCATGTAAGCATCTTCAGAGGACGAGTAGGCTATCGTTCTTAGAGAAGGGATAGACAGTCACTTTCTTACAGTGAAACAATAGATAATTCAGTTATTTTGAGATGTTTTCACCGCTCCTACGGCTCCCGCTCCAAAGAAGATCATCAGGGACAAAACAAAACCTGTCGTTGTGAAGGTACTTCCTTATCATTCTTTTTTGTCCTATAATCAGGATTTTATGATCATGACGATTCTCCATTTACCGATTCTATTCCACCTGTGCCTCACTGGAAAGTTATTCGGCCTTTTGTAGTTGAGGGGCCACGAAGCGAGATTGGCCGTACAGGGTTTCGTCTGCGCTCTTCGAAGGGAGGCCCGTGGAAGAAGGGTCCTTTTTCGTCCATGTAAAGCTAGTGACGTATTGCATGTATTTTATGTTTTGCCTCTTCAGAAAGAAAAAGACGTGCGATTTGCTCCAGATGTGCAACAGGCCGAAAAACCGTCCACTAGCCAGCAGAAAGCGCCTACTGCCAGTTCGTCAAAAGCAGAGCAGGAAGAGGTAAGGAGGACCGTAAACGTGAACCTTTTCATTGCTTTTTTTGGGTCAAGTGTTGCAAGAGGGCGAAGCAACTTCGATAGCACATATGAATTTTTCATTGTATGGCGCTTGCCACACTTAACATATGGGGTAACTACACTATTCCAGGAAGACATTCTTCCAATCAAACCACTCAATGAAGAGGACGAGCTGTTACGACTCAAAATGCAGGTATGTCGTTTTAATTATAGAAAACGGACCTGCTTCGGTGAGTTCGTATAAAAATGGACTCATTCAGATTCTCATCTCTAATTTTTCTCAAGAACAACTCAATAGATACGAGATGTATAGAAGGTAAGGTCATAAACCTTCTTGCTTTGAACATCTCACTCCTGAACTTCGTCGAAAACTCCGTTTTGCTTCTGCTAACTCGTTTGGATGCCTTATCTCTGGCGAGATCTACTCTACGTCGTGGGCGACATTCATTTGCATCTTTAAAGCTGCCGCTTTTAGATCTTCTTTCCCGAAATCGACTATACGTCGGCTTATACATCAATTTACTGGCGCTAATGTTGGGCAGAACGTCGTCATTGCTGTTGCAGGACTTGCAAAGGTACTGTTATGTTTATAGTTCGGCGCTGCCTGTTTCGGACCTTGGAATGGCTTTTCTGTGCCCATTTCGAAATGACAAATTTAGGAGTGACTTTCATGTACTTTAAGGTTTTCGCTTGTGAACTGGTAGAGGAGGCGTTGGATATTCAAGCGAAGATGGGTGGGCCGGAAGAACCACTGAAGCCAAACCATCTCCGTCTCGCCTATTATTCCCTCGAGCGTCAAGGGAAGATCTTTCCTCAGAATAGTCACCGGCGGAATCCTTTCATGTGATTGTTATTTACTTTTTGGAACACTGCCAATTTTCTATCAATTTTGAGTTCCTTTAGGATGACTTATTGTCTGGTTCGTTGCGAATACTGGGCGTGCCAAGGGCGGGGGCGGGTTTGGCGCGGCGCCAGCTCACTTTCCACCAAGTGTTGTGCTAACATGCTTCAGCAACTGACTTCACAGGAAACGAGCTGACGCTGCGCCATACCCAGCCCCTCCTGACACAACCCTGCATTCACAAC